CCTTCCCCGCGGACTCAAAGATGGCGTCAGGCCTGCTGGAGGCCCTGTAGGCTCCTCTTGTTTTGTCCTCTCGGACCTGTGCTCCCGAATACCCAGGGCCCACTTTGAATGCGGCCAAAAAATCTGTAGTAAGGACGCGCTGCAAGGACGAAAGACCTTCGGACGGTCCTTTGACGCCTCAACTGAGGCTTTTCTAGCGGCGCACTGCCGACCAAATCTCAGGGCGCAACGGTGCCCTTGGGAAGGCTACCCGTCCTTGCTACGGACTTTCACTGTATCCTCCTCCTCCTCCTCCTCCTCCTCCTCCTCCTCCGTCCTCCTCCGTCCTCCTCCGTCCTCCTCCTCCTCCTCCTCCTCCGTCCTCCTCCGTCCTCCTCCGTCCTCCTCCTCCTCCTCCTCCGTGCTCCTCCTCCTCCGTCCTCCGTCCTCCGTCCTCCGTCCTCCTCCTCCTCCTCCTCCTCCTCCTCCTCCTGCTCCTCCTCCTTCCTCCTCCTCCTCCTCTCCTCTCTCCTCCTCTCCTCCTCCTCCTCCTCCTCCTCCTCCCTCCCCTTCGTCCTCCTCCTCCTCTCCTCCTCCTCCTCCTCCTCCTCCTCCTCCTCCTCCTCCTCCTCCTCCTGGGGGGGGAGGGGGGGGGCTCGTCCACCCGGGGGCCATCCTGCCGCCCGCGCGCGCCCGCCCCCGTCCTCGAAGTCGGTGTAGGACTCCAGGAACTCCTGCGGGGGCTAGCCTCAAGTCGGGCACGCCCCACTACGGGCGGAACCTGGCCGAAAAACCATTGTTTACAACAGGGATATGGAGAAACAGTCCATCGACATTTTTCGGGGACTCTTTTTGTTACGCTATGTTTGAACGTTCTCCCTGTAGAAGCACATGCCCGACGTCAGGTCAGCCCCGGCGGGCGGGGGCGCGGCGGCGCGGCGAGCGCGCCGGCGGCGTGCGCGGGCCCCGTGCGCGGCGGGAGCGCGGCGGGGCTGCCGCCCGAGGGCAGCCCCCCCCGGGCGGTGCGGGGGCCGCACCTCGGCGGCTGCGCCTGGCGAGGCCGCCCGATGGCGGCGTGGACGGGACGGCGCGGAGTGGCCATCCATCGGCTGGGGGGCCGTGGGCTTCTCTGCCCGCCGCCTCCTCCTTCGTCCATCACTCCGTCATCCCTTCCTTCCCCTCCTAGTCCTCCGTCTCCCTCCTCCCTCCCTCCCTCCCCCCTCCGCCTCTCCTTTTTTTTTCACCTTTCCTCCCCTCCTTCACCTCCTCCTCCTCCTCCTCCTCCTCCTCCCCTTTTCCTGACCTCGGCCGCGAGCGACAGGGGGGCGGTGAGCAGGAGCAGGCCGGATCAGCAGGCGGCGGGGCTTCTCTCAGCAGCGCTGCGGCCTGCCGCGAGGCTCTCCGCGCCTCGTCGGGACAGGCTCCGCAAAAGCAGCTCCAAAGGCCACGGGGGCCCTCCGAGCCTTCGGAGAGGGCTCCAAGCACAAAGCACGAAGCCCGCCCGCACACCATCAAGGGCTCCCGACTTCGCGCTTCGCGCTGCGCGGAGCGCGAAGTGCGAAGCACTCCGCGCTCTCGCGCCGCCTCCCAGGGGAGAAGGAGGAGGCCGAAGAGGCATCGGAGCCGAGCCGCGAGGCGCGCAGCGCGAACAACTTCGCGCCCGCGAGGGCGCCCTTCACCACGGGCACCGCCCAGGGTGCCGCGGGTGCCGGAGCGCCGGAGCGCCGGGGCGTCCGGACGCGGGGCGAGTCCGGAGGGAAGGAGCCGGCCCGCCACGGGCTCGCCGCCGACCACCGTCCCCAGGCCTCCGGGCGGCATGATGCGTTCGATCGCGGCGCTTCCCTTCGCTGCGGCCTCCTGGGGCCTGTCTGAAGGGGCCCAGGGGCACGCAAGTGCATACGCCCAAATCCCAGGATCCCCCCCTATGCTTTCCCATATCTTTCCTGGGCTTCTGCATTCCCCCCCCGCTTCCCACATGTTCCCAGCTTTTCTCCTGGGAGAGGACGATGAATGTGCCTGTGTGTCTTTCTCTCCCTCCTGACTGTTGCCGGGCCTGGGGGCCGTCTGGGGTGGATTGAAGGGGCCCCAGGACACACAAATAAATACACACAAATAAAAAGATTCCCCACATTCTCCAATATTTTCTGGGTTTTGATTTTTTCCCCCCCACTTCCCACATTTTCCCAGCTTTTCCTGGGAGAGGACGATGGATTGTGCCTGTGTATTTTTCTCTCCCTCCTGACTACAGTCAACCCGTACAGTAAGGATGCATGGTAAGGATGCAAGGGCCCTGGAGGGCCACGTTAACGTTTTTCGAGCGAGATTGGCCAGCGAAAGCGGCCAAGGACGAGCCGAGGAGGCAAGGATGCAAGGGTACCGTTGGTAAGGTTACCCATCCTTACCACGCGGGTTGACTGAATGCCCTCCGAATCCTTCGGCGTCTGCTCCCAGCGGTGTGCGCGCCTACTGGAACGATGTGCGCGGGGCCAGTGGGTCTCGGCCAGCGCGGCGGCCAGGCCAGGTCACAAGTTGACGCTTCCCGAAAGTCTAACAACCATGGGGCTCCTGACGAAAGACACCGAAACAAGTCCCTGGAGCGACAAACCAGCCCTCAAAGCGAGTCTTGCGAGACGCAAGAACTTGTTCGGAGAGGATCTGCAACCCGTTGATAGAGGAAGAGGAGGAGCAGCAGCACCAGATCGAAAGGGGGGATCCCCTCCCAAGCTGGCCCCCGAAAAGCTGGCTTCACCCACGGCGCATCGGTCGCAACGAACAAGGTACGTACCGCGCAAACTATCAAATAGTTGCCCGCGCGTAGAGGCAGCGTGCTGGCGCTCTCTACATTCCACCCTCACCCCTCAGCACAAGATGTGGTCTGATGTGTACGTCCCGCTCGCTACGATCTACTGCCTGACCCTCTACTCTCAACTCTGATGTCCTCTAATATCTATCTCTCATGTGCCCTCTAATTCCATAACTGCTCTATGCTCTCTCCTCTGTACCTCTTCTCTATCCGCCACCGTGCCTCCTGGCACTTTGAGGCGTGAAGAATGCCAAGTCTTGTCTGGCAGGGCTTCTGTAGTCTGCCAAGGGACTGCCCCCCCTCTCATCACAAAGTGGCGCGTGCACGGCCCCTCCTCCCCAAAGATCTTGGATGGCCACGGCGCTTCCCTGGGACCCCAGAAGTCTTCCAAGACAGCCCAGGAAAGACATCCAGGCCGCCGATTTGATCCAGGAGGCCTCCATGACAGCCTGAGATGACCTAAGATGACCGGGAGACGGTCCAAGACGCCTCCACGACGGCCCAAGAGGGCTCCAAGAGAGCCTCTAGCAAAGCCCGAAGAAGCCAAAATTGATTGCCCGTGGGTTTTGAAGGATGTTCGCGTTCTCGCCGTTAGGAGCTTTTGTCGGCTCAACACAGCCCAAGAAGCCTTCAAGGTGGCCTCAAGACGGTCCAGAAGGGCACCTAGAGAGTCTCAAGACGGCCCAAGAGGGTACCAAGATGGCCCAAGAGAGGCCCAAAGGACCCCAAGTCTGCCCTAGAAGGCGCTCAGACGGCCCTCAAGGTCCCCAATAGAGCCCCAAGGCGACGCAGAGAGCCCCCCGAGATGGACACTGAAAACGCCCATACGGCCCAAGAGCGCCCTCCAACGGCCCAGGGAGCCGCCAAGAACCACCCAAGCGCTCCTAAGGCGCTGCCGAGGGGCCACAAGGGGCTCTTAAGAACCCCATCAAGAGGCCCCCAAAACCTTCCAGAGGCCCGAAGTGTCACACGTGACGGCCTCCCGTGCCCCCTCGAATAGCCGCCATCCAACATGCTGGACTGGCACGGTGGCGGGACTGGCCACCGGCAGCTGAATAGTCTCTGCTGTCCACTTCGTCTGTGCCAACGACGCCCCAGGAGTCGGGAGCGGCCAAGGACGCCCCAGGGTATCCAGGAGCCTGGCCACCACGGGGAACCCGAAAGCCCGAAACTGGGAACCCATGAAGCCCGGCCGCCTATCGGCGGGGCACGTCCACCAACTCCTCACAGTATCCGTATGAAAACCTCCAATGCAAGAAACACGTATTGGGCCACAGGGGGAGAGGAGGATGAGGAGGAGGAGGAGGAGGAGGTACAAACAAAAAGCAGGGGAGGAGGGGGTGGGGATGTCGAGACGGGGACGGGTGAGGCCAGGGAAGGGGAGACTCGGCGGGGGAGGGCTCGACTGGAGGGAAAAGCCGGGGATGGGGGGACACGAAGCTGGGGGGCCGAGAGCGAGCAGAGGGAACGGGAAGGAGGACGCAGGAAGGGTGGCAACATAGAAGTATGCATACATGAGCGAGCCCGAAAACCCTGAACCCCAGAAAATGTGTGCCATCTCTTTGGGGGGGGCATCTTTTACTTCCGCCGCCTTCCGCCGCCCCTCCGCCGGCGCCCGACGGCGGAAGCGGCTCGTGTTACGTCGGCCGGCCTTCCGCCGCCCTCGGCCGAGGAGGAGATGATAGCTTATTCGATCCTCGACAGCAGGGCCCTCTTCGGAACGCCTCGAATACTCACACAGGTGCATGTTCTCATGCACACCTCTCCTGTGGCAAACACATCGGTGGCCCTGGTGCCACCTGTATACTGTCATACGCGCCTCGCTGAGGGAGTAGAGCTCAGAAGCGATTAGTACTGGTCCCTTACGCGTTTTGCGGGACACCCTCATACATCTGGCAATCGGATGCGCTCCCCTCACGCCGATCGCCAAGTCAGGGTCAACACAAACAGTGTACTCCATGTTCACATCAAACCTTCAAACACAAACTGTGTTCCATGGTTATGCGTTATGCGCATACTATCTAGACGGCCATTGGTTGTGCAAATATTGCCTGCGTAGGTATTATGCGTTGTATGGGCAAATCTTCCAACACACAGTTTGGTCCAGTCATGGTGCCCAGAGCTGCTAGAACGACAAGAAGGTCGTCGTTAGTTCCCAGCGGTCGTTCTCCAAGCTTGCTCGAACCTCTGTTGCCAGTGCCCAGTGGAGTGCTTCTCATCAGACTGCCCCATCGGTTGCCCCACTTCACTGCTGTTGTATTAGCATGGGCACGCACGTGCCACGCGTACACAGACAGAGAAAGAGAGATAGAGAGTGGGAGAGAAGAGAGAGATCTACGCACCGTTAAATATCGAAAGAGGGGGGTACCGCGAGAGAGGGAGAAGAAGAGGGAAAGAGAGAGAAGGCAACAACACAGAGAGAGAGAGAGAGTTGAGAGCGAGATACAGAGAGCGAGAGAGAGAAGAGAGAGGGAGAGAGAGGGTCAAAGAGGGAAAGAGAGAGAGAGAGAGAGAGAGAGCGCTGGCGGGCGTCGGAGGTAATCAGGGAGGGGTATGGCACGAGAAGAGACTAGGCGGGGCAGGGGGAGAGCGAAGCGAGGCGGGGAAAGGGCAAGGGGACGGGAAATACGGAAGGAAGGGAAGGGGAAATGAAGGATGGGCGATGGCAATGGCAACAGGGAAGGGAACGGGATGTTGGCAGAGAGGAGACAGACTAATGAAAACATAGGGTTACTGAAGCAACGGCGGACAGACGACCGAAGTACGTGTAGCGACACACAGTCAACCGAAAGTATAGCAACAAACAGTCAAACCGACGACAGAGACATTCGGAAAACATGAATGGGGGAACCCCGGGGCGCCTCCGAAGAAGCGCGAAACACACACACTTCGAGCCACTTCCAGAAGAAGCAAGAACCCTTCGCCGACATCCTCCCGTGGGGCGGCCGGGACGAGGAGCGTTCGCTCGGGAACGGCGCCCCCCCCCTTTGGCACCAGGAGCGCCTGGGTGCACGACGGCGAGAGGAACCACCGCGGAATCACCTCAGGAACGGCTTGCCCCATCTGGCCATCGCTCGGAAGCCCGTTCCCCGTGCATGTTTCGACTTCCTGCGTGTATGTTGTCGCCAGATGACCCAAGATGGTCCTCGATGCCCCCCGCCGAGAAAAAATACACACGTCCGAGCGATGCCAAGCCCCCGAACCAATTTTACGCTACCGAGGAACCCCACGTACTTATATTATGGCTGGAGCGATGATAGCTGAAGTGAAGCATGTGAGAATGATGTTGGTGGCCGTTGCCCCGCCGATACCGTTGGTGATGCCACTCAAGAGGAAATGTAGACGAGGAGAAGCGCCGCGCCAGCCACACTTTGCGAGCCCGGTGACCTGGACGACCGGCGCGCATAGCGGCCGCGGTGAGGGACCACCCCCTGCGCACACCGTCTGGCGTCGAGAAAGCGCCACGCTTGCTATGCCCTGGACGACCGTCGTGCATAGTGGCCGCGGTGAGGGACCAACCCCTGCGCACCCTCTACGGTGTCGAGAAAGTGCCACGCTTGCTATGCCCTGGACGACCGGCGCGCATAGCGGCCGCGGTGAGGGACCACCCCCAGCGCACCCCGTCTGGCGTCGAGAAAATGCCACGCCTGCTATGCCCTGGACGACCGTCGTGCATAGCGGCCGCGCTCAGGGACCACCCCCAGCGCACCCCCTGTGGTGTCGAGGAAGTGCCACGCCTGCCACGCTTGGCGAGCCCGCAACGGATAGGGAGACCACCCCCAGCGCACCCTGTGGTGTCGAGGAAGTGCCACGCCTGCCACGCTGTGCGAGGCCGCAACGAATAGGGAGACCACCCCCAGCGCACCCCCTGTGGTGTCGAGGAAGTGCCACGCCTGCCACGCTGTGCGAGGCCGCAACGGATAGGGAGACCACCCCCAGCGCACCCCCTGTGGTGTCGAGGACGTGCCACGCCTGCCACGCTTTTTATAGGGAGACCACCCCCAGCGCTCCCCCTGTGGTGTCGAGGAAGGGCCACGCCTGCCACGCTGTGCGAGGCCGCAACGGATAGGGAGACCACCCCCAGCGCACCCCCTGTGGTGTCGAGGAAGTGCCACGCCTGGCATGCCTGGACGACTGGGGCGTGCTGTGCTGTGCTGGCCTGTGCTGCGGTCTGCTGTGCTGTGCTGTGCTGTGCTGTGCTGTGCTATGCTGTGAGTGCGGTGTGCTGCGTGCTTGTGTGTTTGTGTGTATGTGTGTATGTGTGTATGTGTATCTGTGTGCTTTGCTGTGCTATGCTGTGCTGTAGGCTGTGTGTGTGTTTTTGTGTGTGTGTGTGTGTCTGCATGTGTGTATGTGTATGTGTGTATGTGTGTGTGGTTTGATGTGCTGTGTTGTGCTGTGGGTGAGGAAGGAAGGAAGAGGAGGGGGAGGAGGAGGAGGTGTGAGACGCGGGTGTGTGAGAAGCGGGTGCGGCGCGGCAGTGAAGACAACCAGAACCCCACTAAACATGTGGAGAAAAACGGTCCCTATCTCAGCGCTTCGACTGTGCGCCGAAGCCCTCGGAAAGGAGGCGGGAGCTGTCATTCCTTCCCCCCCTCCTCCTGCGCCTCCTCGCCCTCCTCCTCCGCCGCCGCCTCCTCCTGCACTCCTCCTGCTCCTGCGCCGGCTCCTTCCCTCCGTTTATCCTCATCCTCGCCTGTGCTCCGCCTCACATACTCCTCCGCCTTCCTCCTCCTCGGCTTCCTCCCGCCTCGCCCCGCCTCGTCCCCCTCGCCTCTTCGCTCTTCCCCTCTCCCCTTTTCCCCTCTCTTTCCTCCCCCCCCTCCTCCTCCTCCTCCTCCTCCTCCTCCTCCTCCTCCTCCTCGGAAAGCGCGGATCCTCGCGCTTCACCTTGTCCTCCAGCCTCGGGGGGCCCGCGTGCTTCGGGAAGCGCTTGCGCCCGCCGAGCTGGCGCTCCCTCGCCAAGGCCTCCAGGGGCGCGCCAGAGGGGGGGAAGGGAGGGCGGTCTCCTTCATCCTTCTCCTGCTCCTGCGTACCTCCTTGTCGGCCAGATAACTCTAGTATCTTGCACGCTTGTCCTCACCAGCAGTCGAGAGCTTGCAGACCTCGGAGCCGTTTGCTACCTGCGATGTGGGGTGGACGCAGGTTGGGACATGATCGTGGTCGCAGTCGCGGCGGGAGTTCAGCACATAGAGAAAGGCTAAGCTATGGAAAAGCGAGCCGGCGCTGGGGTACAGGTGAACCACACATCCCGCGGCTCACCTCAACTGATGATAGTCATAGTCGTGCGGGGCTACGGAGCCACAAAACCAATCGCAGAAGGAGCGGACCCCGAGGTGACGTCCGAGCTGGCTCGCGCGGTCCAGCATTTTCGGGTAAGGCTGCACAGCAAGTCCGAGGGTCAGAACAGCATGTGCACGTTCCTCTTCAAGCTTGACCTTCACAGCCAGCTGGGCTGAGAGGTGGGCCCGACGAAGGAGGGCTCCTTCCTTTCGGGAGCGGCCCCGCGATGCCCGCTGGAGGAGGATGTATCGAAGTACCTCGACCACAGGACGTAGGTAGTAGCAGCAGCCACGTGGTCGAGCGTCGGCGTGGGATGATGGGTAGCAACTCGTGGGTAGAACTAGAGGGGAACTGGAACACACAAATAAATACACACAAATAAAAATATCCCCCATATTTTCCCATATTTTCTGGGTTTTTGTCTTCCCCACCACTTCCCATATGTTTGCATATTTTCCTGGGAGTCGACGATTAATTGTGTCTGTGTGTTTCTTTCCCTCCTGAAGAACATCAGTAGCAGCAGGCAGGATAGCGCAGGAGCAATTGAGGCGGGGGCGGCTAACAGATCCCCCGATCGTCTTCCAGAGGGCTTTGCAGTGGTAGCAGCCCCTGAGATCCCGATCGTGAATGCAGCAGGAGCTTGACGACAAGAGAACTCCCACAAGGAGCCCACCCCTGGGACCCCAGGGCATCCATTGATTTGTAGTGTGGCAACGTCACGCTTCCCGTAGCAAAACCATCGACACCCAAGAAACCCAGAGCACCCTGGAGGCAAGCAGGGTGTTCCTTGGAATGGGTTTCCACTGTAGCAGACCCCCCGATCGTCTTCCAGGGGGGGTTCTCAGTGGCAACAGCGCCAGTGATCCCGATCATGGATGTGCGTTCGAATCGTGATCCTGGCAACCGGCTCCCCGGAATTGGGCTGCAAGGGCTCCCAACTTCGCGCTTCGCCCAGCGCGGAGCGCGACGTGCGAATAATTTCGCGCTCCCGCGCCGCCTCCCAGGGGAGACGAGGAGGATGAGGAGGAATCGGAGCCGAACCGCGAAGCGTGAAGAACTTCGCGCCCTCGAGGGCGCCCTCGGGGCTGCGGGGGGTGCGCCCCGGCGGGCGCGGGACGGGAGGAGGCCCCCGCGCCCGAAGCACTGGCTCCCCTTTTCTGAAGGCCGCGCGGCCCTTGCGGTGCCAGCCGGCCAGTGCCATTCTTGCCGTGAGCCTTGGGAGGGCTCGCGCTGGAAGTCGTCCGGTGTCGAAGGAACCCTCTCAGGATGCAGTCCAACTTTTCTTTTTTACTGGTAGTCGGTCCGCCTGCCTAGACACGAACTCCATGAAGATCTGCTCTGCTCAGTTCCTTCGTTCCTCCTCCGCTTCCTCCTCTTCCGCCTCATCCTCCTACTACTCGCCCCCTCCTCCTCGCAGCCATGTCCAGGTTTCGAGCTATTCGACCGAAGCGTTTTGGCCAGCGAACTTGAAAGTGGCGCAGCTGGCCAGAAACGAAAAACTTTACATGACCCAAGATGGAGCACAGTGGCAGACCCAGAAAAAAACGCCTGGAAATGTCGGCCGAATGGCTTTCCCAACTTCCACTTCATGTCTTCGCGCCGCGATTGTGGAAGCCGTGCCCCTCAGTCGGTGCTGCGAGCACCGAAGAAGGTCACGGGTCAGGGTCAGCAACGTGCAGAGAAGCAGCCGCCAGTCCAGCGCTGGCGCAAGGGTCCACCCATGTCTGGTGAGAAGGAGCTCGACCCCACCACGCTCTCGGCAGAGCAGCTTGTTGTGCTGCTGCCGGCGAAGGGCGTTGAGAAGGGCACGCAGCCGTCCAAGGATCTCGAGCCTGCTCTCAAGATGCCTGGAGAGGTGCAGCTGATGGACCTGTCCAAGAAGGGCCCCCCAGGACTTCCTGCAGCGCAAGCGGAGGAAGCCTAATCAAGCAGGTCGAGGGGTCGCCTCAGAGAGTCGAGGCCGCAAGAGAAGCATTGCAGCAGGCGCGCCAGGTCTTCGACGAAGAGCACGAGCAGCTGCTCAAGAGCAAAGAAAAAGCATGGCGGAGCTCAAGGAGCACATCACGAAGGCGCAGGCCGCAGACGTCCTTCCCGATGCTCCCCAGAGGGTCCGGCGGTGGACCGCCGACATGAGATTGCCGTGCTGGAGAGATCATGGAACAAATGCCTGCGCAACTACGGAGGTCGCTTCGGCATCGACGCAGGCACGATCCTCAAGCGGGCAGCAGACTCGGGAGAGGGAGCTCGAGCTCGAGATCCCAGCGCCCAACGGAAACGGAAACGGCTGGCGGTGGCGCCGCGGCTGCTGCTCACCCTGCAAGCGGATCTACTGGGCCAGCAGCAACAGCAAACATACCTGTGCCAGGATTGAGCAGGGACCGACCGTCCCGGCATTCACACAGTCCCACCATGAAGTGTTCGTAGAACCCAAACATGTTCTAAAGAACAAGAACACTGTTCTTAGAACATATGCCCGATGTGTTAAAACAAAACATTATCAACCAGACATGTTCTAAAAACACGTCGTGGAAACCACACAAGGTTCTCAACACGTTGTCTGGCAGGGCTGTAGGCGAGCCAGGACGCTTCGCCACTGCTTGACAGGACACGGCGAGCTCGACCGAAGCGACAGAGAGGTCAGGGAGGCGCTCGCCGCGGCCGGGTGCGACGTCCTCAGGCCCCGAGGGAACACGAGCGGCTCCTCGAAGGCCCGGGCGCTCGCTGGCCAGGCGACCCCCGGGCGCGGGCAGCCAAGCGCCCTCTGCGCGACGATCGCGAGGGATGGCCGCGGGCGAGTGGTGGAAACTGCGGGTGTCGGGTCGGGCGAAAGGGGGGGATAGCAAAAGGGGGGTTTGAGAATCAGCTCACGTAGCTGATTTTCCCGGCGCCTCCCGGCGCAGGAGGCGGCTATGTATCGAGGAATGGGCCCCTCGGTGAGGCCGAAACCAGCTGCATGCAGCAAATTTCGTAACCCCCCCTTTCCCAATCCCCCCCTTTCGCCCGGCCCGAGGGTGGCCACTCCCAGGTGTCCTTCCGGAAGGGAGCGTCGAGGAGGGGTCGAGACCGTGGCCCACGGACCCCCGGCCAGGCGGCACCGCCCAGGGAGCCTGGCCTGCCCCTCCCCAGGGAGGCACGGGCAGCCCGCGGCCCCCCCCAGAGAGCGGGCGGCCTCCTCCTCCTCCTCCTCCTCCTCCTCCTCCTCCTCCTCCTCCTCCTCCTCCTCGGAGGCGTCGTGCCGGCAGGCGCGGGCAGCGAGAGGCCCCTCGACACCGCGAGCGTCCAGGGCGCGGTGAGCGGTGGCAGCGGTGGGCGGCGATGTCCACATGTACTTCCGGAGGGGAGCGCCGAGGAGCGGTCTCGGGAGCGCCCCACTCCCTGCCAGGCAGCACCGCCCAAGACGCCCTGCTCCCCCCGGCGGCGCTGGCAGCCTGGATCGCCGAAGGGCAGGCGGCGGAGGCGTCGTGCTGGCAGGAGAGAACAGCGAGAGCCCCCTCGGCGCCGCAAACGTCCAGGACCTAGAGGCGTGGAGTGCGAGCGTCGCAAGCTGGAGCTCGGGGCAAGCGTTGCTGGACTGCGCTCGACATGATAGTCTGCTTGGCCTCGACGCCATCTCTGCCTCACGATTCGAACACTGAGCGGCAGGCAACACAGCGCAAGGAGATGCGAGGAGCGAGCAACGCCTCTGCCTCCAGCGGCCCCGTGTGGCCGGGAGGAGCAGATGACCACGGGTGTGGTGGGGCGCCGAGGAGGCGAGGCCCACAATCGGGGATGGACAGAACCCCCTTTAGCAAAACGTGGTTTAGTGAAAACGACCTCGGGCCCAAATCTGGCGGGCGAAAGCCTGGAAACTGACGGCCACGGCGCCCTCTCGAGAACCGAAAACGGACAATTCACTAATCGACGTGTCACTATTGGGGGTTCTGTCCAGCCCCGACACAACCAGAGACCCGTGGGCGGGTGGTCCCAGCAGCGCGGTCAAGCTCCCGCGAGCCCGACGGGCAGCCGGCGGGGCCCGCGTGCAGCTGCACAGAGGGGAGGCGTGCTCGGCACGCTCCGGCGGCACCGCGCCAGAACACTCTGGAGCCTGCGCGGGGCGAGCGGCAAGGCAAGACCGTGCCCAGTCGGACCCCGACTCCGAGGCACCTCCGATCGCCGAGGGGGGCGGCCACCGCTGGCCGCCTCAGGCAGGCGGAGCGACTTGGAGACGGCTCGGAGCCCGCGGGCCTGCCTCCGTCCCTCCTCGGGGGGGGGGGGGGCTCGGGCGGGGCAGGGACCACCTCCACTTCCTCTGGCCATCGCTCGGACGTCCATTCCCTGTGCTTTGTTCGATTTCGTGCGTGGTTCTTTCGCTGGATAATCAAGGATGCTCCTCGATGGTCCTCGCCAAAAGAAAAATGCACACTTCCGAGCGATGCCAAATTCCTCCGAAGAAGCGCCAGCCTCGGGGCAGACCGTCCTGGTCGGCAGAGCAGCGTGCCGGGCGCCACGAGCAGGCTCCGGGACACGGCTTCCAGCCGAGCCGAAGGGCTCACACAGCAGCACCCCGTGTCGAGGACCGCACGCCGCCTCCTGGGGCTGGGGCGCCTGCCACGGCGCAAGTCACGCCGAGCAGACTCTGCATCCCTGGAGGGACGCTCGTGGCAAACACGGTCAAACCCGTCGACGCGCGCACCCGTGTTGTGCCA